GCCAGCTTTCTCCGCTTATCTCCAGAGCATTGCTCTGGAGACGAGAGCACTGTTTTCACTCCCCCTTCTTCCATTCCAGTCCATCACAGCAACACAGGTTGCTTAACTTTGGAATTTTAAGTACCCAGAAGCTAGAGAAGAAAGAAGGCTAATTAGAGGTAAAAGAGATGGACACCAGTTTTTACAACATCCAGAAATTTTGGCTGCATGCATGCCAGAAAGTAATTTGTGTTCTGTTGAATACAACAGTTCCTACATTATATAGATGCTGTGTTTTGGGGAAACTGAAGCATTTGTAAATATGCTTCAACAAATGAAACATTTAAATTTGTGGCAAAGGTTTTCAAATTTCATGAAAAATGTGACCAAATTTCAATATAGTCAGTTTAATCATATTACAAGGGATGATTTCCCCACCCACCCATTTTAGTCTGAATATTCTTAAACAGTATATGCCTAGATTTCAAACTGCCACAAACTGAGAATTTTTTTTAATAAAATGTCAGTAATGTAGTGAATTGTGAGCTTCATACAAGAGTAGAATCCTATTGATCTGGATATTTCATTAGACAGTTTCTTTTATCTGCAAATTCCTTTATCTCAGGTTTGCACATAATTATTATTAATAGGCCTTAGATCAGAGGGTTGGGCTTAAGTGATAAGATTTTCTTTATTTTGCAGCAAAGATGCAGTGACATTTGCTTAATTGAAATAGTAGTTGGAGCCTTTCGTTTGACAGCTCCTTCTGTGAATTTAATGATGTATGGATTGGAGGCACATTGCAACTTTTTTCCAATAGATCCAGAATTGGGGGGATTCTTTCAATGAATGCTGGACCAGTAAGATCTCATCAAGGTCCATCTTTTATCAGGGATTACTTTAGGGCTGTACATGTCGACCACTTTTCATTTCTAATATTTAGTCTGTGCAAACTGTGCTGCTGTAATTCATGCTGTAGTTCTCAAGCCATTTTCTAAAATCAGGAAGGTTGTCAAATTGCAAGAGCAGAAAGCTCTTACAAGATCTTGTGCATACATTGCCTATTTACAAAGTTTTCCTTGCTAGTAAGAGAACTTGTCAAGGGAACATATCTGTTAGCATATGAACATTATATTTTGGACCTCCCTAATTTATTTTTGCAACTAAACATGCAACTTTTCTGAGCTGATACTACACTTTTAGATCTTTTCCTTTAATTTACTCTCCCAGTTTTGTAAACTGTTTTTTTCTCTGCCTTTATCCCAGGAATGTTTACTCCATTGAAAAATTCTTTACTTCTCCCCTCATTCATTTCCTATTCTTTTGAGTCTTTTGTCTCCCATTGTTCACATATACTTTTGCTTCTCTGTATCTCCTAATGTTCTTCAATACATTTATGCTAGCTGCCATGTAGACTAAAAGGCATAATTATATCACCTGGTGCTAATAAGAAGCTCCCCATCAAGCAAGCCATTTTTGAATGATTTTCAAAAGTGTCTCAGATGAAATTAAGATTGTTTAAAATTTATTTTTTTGCAAGAGTGAAAAATCAAAATTATTTACTATTCAGTAGTGATGCATTCAGACATGTTTAGTACATGCTTGCGCTTAGCAAATTTAATATAGATAGTTGGATCACAGGATTTTTAATAATAGGAAAAAAGTGTATACCAGACTGATGTTGGACTACTTTTACTCTAAAGGACAGTCATTCTTTATTGTAATTTGATTCAGCTTTATTTTTTTTCTTAAAGGTTAGCACTGTTCCTAGTATTTCTTTGTGTTGAGATTTTTATGTTTCACATGTATCAAGAATACTTCAAAAATGCTGTGGTTCCTATCAAACTCTCTCCAGATTTATATTTTCTTAAACCAAATGAAACTCATCATAAATACAAAACCAGCCTTCTTGTTCAAAACTACACTGGTAAGTAGTAGGAGCCATCACTATATTTTTTCAGTTTTTTTCTTCTATTCCTTGTAATTTCTATTATTATTTTTATTACTATTTTATTTTAACATATTATATACACTGGAAATTAATTGAAAGAATACTCTCTATGCATGGCTGAGATGCTTAGTCTTCAAACAATTAATTTTCCAATCTATTAAGACTGGAGTAGGCGATCTTTTTGCAGCCAAACTTACTATTTCCTCCTCCCTTCCCTTCCCTTCCCTTCCCTTCCCTTCCCTTCGTCCAAGGGCTCTAGAAGTGGTGTGTTGATGAAGGGATAGGCTTTCCCATTGTAACTGCAGCTCCATACATTCAACAAAATATATACATTTTTCCATAGCATGAATGGGGAAGCTCAGTGCACACCATTAAGTTCATCTGAATGCAGAGGGACATTATGGGTATGACACTGACTCGTTAATTATCATTATCTTCCTTTATTTATTATTTTCCTCTAGGAGTAAACATTGATGACACAATCATAAACCCACTTCAGAGCCAGAATATACTGACAGAAATGTTCAATGGCAGTGACTACATATCAGTTTCCCCTCACAATGCAGCATTAAATGTAGTTCATGCAAGCAAGGTAAGAAGATACACCGCTTATATTTAACAGCTGGTAATGTGTGGCCTTGGGTAGTTTATTTAGAATGTAAGAAAAGTTTTGCTAAAAAAAGGTAACTCCATCCAGTGCACTATCCCGATTGGATTTAGTTCTGTTCCAACTGGAGCAAAGCTGATACGTGTTGCTGCTTTGGATTTGTAGCTAATAAGTTAAATCTCTATTGTTGTTGCAGACCATTATCTTTAAAGCTGCTTTCAACCGAACCATGCTACATTCTTTACCTCTTATGATGAATATCATTAGTAACTTGTACCTACACAATTTAAATGTAACTGAAAACATCCATATCTGGATTAGCTCTTTCATTCAAGTAAGTAAATGAAAACTCAAATGCTGATATTGTAAAATGAAATGATAGAAAGGAGCACTAGACAGACTTTCTGTGTAAACATAGATGTCTAAGGCAAGTTGCATTGAGCATTATGTGACATTTAAGTTTTCATCTATTTTCTATTATGAACATCTTTATTTTTCAGGAAATTACTGATAGAGGTTTCATAATGGTGATGATTGTTCAGTGTTTGACAGTAGGTGTCACCATGACCGGATTGCCATCATATTTTGCTATGGAGAATGCAGAAAATCATAGGGTAACTTTATATTAAATCATGTTTTTAAAAAATGAAACAAAAAAATCCATATGTTAGTCTAAATCATGATTTGTCTGCCCACATTTATATTCTATAAACAGATGACATATTGGGGTAAATATTTGAATTTATTTCAAAATTTTGAACATATTTTAAACTGAGACTCATGAATTATTTTAGGAATGATCCCCTGCCTCCTCTGTTGCTGCTCCTGCTCTTTGGAGCAACTTTCCCCTAAGATTTGGTTAGCCCAATCCTGTCTGCCTTTTGGAAGACATTAAAGACCTGTTTTTCTACCTCAGACATTGGGCATGGGAATAGTATGACCAACTGAGTGAGTTTTTCCCTGGTACTTAGGTATTTGTAGGATTGCTCCTTTGGATTGTGTTTTTCATATTTCATTTTTTAATGTGGCTTTTATTGATTGTTCTGTTACTGATGATGTAAGCTGTCCTGAGTCATGTGCTGAGTAGGGTGGTTATATAAATTGATTAAATCAATCAATCAATATTTAACCACATTAATAATACAAAGAATCAATACCTGAGAAGACCAACCTGAATAGAAGGGCAATCTAGATCAGCAGATAAAGCAGGGATACGTAACTCACGTTGGACCAAAAGTTAGGCATATTAGGTGCCACATTGCAAAGGGGCAGGGTCACATCAAAAAGATGTTAAAAACTGAGAACCATCACATATTAACTTAGACTGATTATATATTAATATTTATACTTTAAGATGATTTATCGGATTATTTAACTACACAATTTTAGCACAGACATGTATTTACAGTTATTTCTATCCTTGCTAATCTAACTCCCTAGTTTAAAAGCAAACAGAAAGAGCCCTACCAGAAATCTATTATCTCATACATCAGCCTAGTCTCCTTCTCTCTCTTCCTGGATCCAATCCTGGGTTGTGATTACAATTGTTAGATTTGTTCCAATATGCTGTTTGTCCAATATGCCACACATTTTAACCAATTTATTTTTTGCAGATCAAAGCTTATACTCAGCTGAAGATGTCAGGTCTTTATCCATCTGCTTATTGGTGTGGACAAGCATTAGTCGACATTCCTCTATATTACACTATTCTCCTTGTCATGACTGGGATCTTATTTGGAGTTCATCATGAAATTATTTTTTTCCCTATGAAGATCTTTGCTGTAGTAAGTCTTGCTATGTTCAAATAAATGTTCTATGCCTTTTCTTCAGTACATTTCCACTTACTTATAATAAACCCAGATCTTTTTGTACTCCTAGACCCCCCCCTTTTTAAAATGTCCATTCCTTGTAAAACATAACTTCCAGTGGTATGCTAAGTCTCTTGAATTGTAATAATTTTGAATTTGAAACACCCTCCTTTATGCTTGAAACAGTTGCATTAAATTCAAATCTGTTGTTTCATATTCAAAACAGGCTGTTTCAATTATTCTGGATATGTGTCAAGCACAAAGCACTTCAAAATGATCAAAACAGCCTGTTTCAAATGCAAAATGGCATTATTTCACCCAGAAAATATTATTCTGAACTTTAAAAAGTTATAAATTTGAAACAGTTCTGAATTCAAGACACTTTGCACAACTCGTAACGCCTTCAGCTTCTCCCTATTTTTATCTTTGGGGATGAATTGTAAAAAATGAAAAAAAAAGTGTAAAAATGTGTATTAAGCTTGTTCTTCCATCCCTGTGTGTCCTACCAGTGGCAAGTTGGGAATATACAATAAAGGGGGAGCTGAAGCACCCTAAAATGAAATCAGTGCATATGACTGAAGGCGGGGTTCCCTCCATGACACAGGAAGAAGCCTAGTCTGCTTTCTGGCTAAAAAGGTGGAGTTAACCCTTTCCTGTTGGGTCATTCTTCCAATGACCAGAAAGAGACCATTCTGTATGAGCAGATCTAAATGAACGAAGTGATGGGTTATTTGCTGTTTTTAATTATTCTGGTCTGTTTTCATGGGAAAGTATGTCATGAAAAATTTTAAGGGATGTATTTTTTTTCTTGCAGACGTTTTGCATTATAGGCTATGTACCCTCAGTAATTCTGTTCCATTATATTGTCTCTTTCACTTTTAAAACTATACAAAACACCAAAGAATTTTGGTCATTCATTTTTCCAACTGTGAGTAAACGGGCAGAGCCTAATTTGTTTTTCCCATTTATTGAAATTTCTAATTTTGTTTGTATATTTATATATACATGTTCATGTTGGATATATGTGACTTCAACTTTTTTTTAATTTGAATCATATCTGCCTTTATTTGTCCTTAGTTTGCAGTAAACATCATGTATATCTGTGTGTTTTCTGAGTTATACTTATTACAATGGATCAAATCACTGTTCAATCTAAGTCATAATGTGATTTGTTTAGTTTAGGTATTGCATAATGTATGATCCCAGTCCTTGTGGTTCATTATCTACTAGGCGGAATGGGTCTTAACAAATCACAATTAAAACAAATCATGTGTTAGTGCAATGTGTACATGCTGGAGTATGTACAGCACAAGACCAAATTTTGCAGGATTATTTCCTAGTCTCTGACATGAAAGTCTATCATATAACTGTACTGTATGTACTATTCATTTTATTCACAACACTATATTTATCTTTTTTTTTCTTTTTTAAAAGGCTGCCTATATTTTGCCTGTTTTTAATAAATTCCATAAAAAGAGTTCTTTACTTCCAATTGTTCAGTTGGATTTATGAGTTATTTTAGTTGTAAGCATTAAGAAGGAACAAAATTAAATCAGAACTAAGTAAGATTAACTCAAAATATTAATCTCATATCAGAAAAAAAATGCTTTTCTGCATAGCCTAAAATGAACAAGTGCATCTATTTATTCAGAACAAAAATTTATACAGCACGGTCCTTCATATCAGGCCACATGGTATTAGTAGTGCTCAGATTCAGCCAATGCTGCCAGTGTTGCCATTTTTTGTTATAACTTGCTTGAATTTATTTGCAGTAAAAAAATCTGTTATAAGGTGGGGCAGGCTGGAAACTGGACTTCCAGATGCATCCCTTTAAACTGGATAAGAAATTTATCTTAGAGTTCTAGGAAATGTCCATAATTCTGAGCTACATAATCTGAAGCTAAATGTCCAGTGATTTAGAAGCATTCCATCTAAACTTGTGGATTGTATCTAGGCACCTATTATATAAGGTAGGGCAGTGCAAAATATACAGAAATGATGCTTCACAGCACATGAGACCAAGGACCTTTCTTTGAATTGTTAAAGCAACTATGGTTTTTGTAAGGATCAGATGGTGCTCTGACATTGTTCCCAGCTATCTCAGCAGTGGTGTGCAACATCATAGGGACAAGTAGAACTCTAGTTTGATACTTCCACTTGAATTTTGTTATGATTATATTTGTTTTGTCTTTCAGGCAGCTTTGATCTGTATTATTGTTACTGATGTAGCATTTACACAGTGGTATAACATAGCCGTTATAATTCATATGTCCTTTTGTATCTTCATTCCAATCTACCCTCTAATTGGGTGCCTGATTACTTTGTTAGAGGTAAGTTTACTATAGACTGAATTTAGTCAGTAATTTCAGAATTCTAGTGTGCCAAAGAGTACCATACATTTTATTTAAATTTCAATATATATTACATATTTTAAAACTTGTGACAGACAATCATAATGTGGTTCCAAAACAGCAACTTTTCTCTACAATTGAGGTGGGGGAATGATTTTTTTCTAAGTTCAATTTTAAGCTAAATCCAGAGCATAATGAGTTTTGACCTCTTCTCAACTTTTTGCACTGAAAACGTTTTTGTATGTGAACTTCTTGTATCCATTTCAGAATTAATTCTACCAAATATAACTTATGTAAAAAGGTAGGCACTAAAGATAGCAAAGTATTGGGAGAGTAGATACAGCTTGCATCTGTTTTCTTCATTAAATTTTATTTTCATTTTGATGGTAATCAAATCAATGATATGTTTATAGCTAGAGATATAAATGTGAGAGTTCAGCCTTGGTGGTGGGAATTCCCCATCATTCTCTCACATGTCCATGTTTTTAAGAACCCCACCAAGTAAGACATGAGAGATGGCCCTTTAAAAAGGGGTCCAAGGATCAAATGCTGGTGACAGAGGAGAAAGGTTGTCTGTAAGGGTATGCAGAGGAAGAAGCCAAAAAGTTCTACAGCAGGCAAAGACTGAGGAGTTCCAGGGCAGCTGAAGAACTCTGGGCTGGTGTTGGATTGAAGCAGTCTAGGATTTCCAGGAAAGAATGGTGGACTGAAGATGGCTCTGCAAAAAGCAGAGCCAATGACCACGGCGGAATGAAGAACCAGTGAGTAGACTGGCTCTTTGTAATTCCTTTCTGAACAAGGAGAAGGCTTGAGATCTCCCACAAGTGCTCCAGACAGTTGCTCCTCACAAGGAGACTGCAAAACAGCAGTCTCTGGTGGGTTTTGAGCACTAGGAGATGAGGGAATAGCCTTCTTGCTCAAACCACAGTCAGCATCTTTGAAAGGACACTGGGTTCACGTACTTCCTTTTCTAATCACACTCAGAAATGGCTTGTTAACTGCTTTTCAGCTATTAGGAATCTTCAGATCGACATGTTTTACAGCACCAGATGAGTTTCCCTCAATCCTTAACAAAAGAAGTTTTAAGTACAAGTTTAAAGACTTAAAGAATTTTTTCCTGAAATAGTGAAAGGGTGATTAAAACTTTGATTTTAGAAAGTTACAAACAGACTAAGGGTCCAGATAAATT